CGTGTAATGAACTACATACCTTGGCCGCGTTGCGCATGCGTCTGGGCATCGGGAGACCGGCGCAGTGTGCCCGTGCGCATCTTCCAGATGCGAAATTTATGATTGGACGCTTGTCACCGTACCTCTTATGACGCTAGATTACACATACCAGAATTTGGCATGAAAGCGCAAGATTTCTGCCAGACTGCGTGCAAACGCATTCTTCCGTGCGATTCCCTTGTAGAAATAAACCGATTATTCGGATAAAGTGCCATTCATTTTGCCGCGAATTTCGACGCGACCGCCACCTAGAGGTCGATAACTCTTCCACTCGAAATCCGCCGGCTATTCGTCTTTCGTTTCGTTATCCGTGTGCTGCAACTGTTACATTCGTAATTATCACGCCGTTAATCTTGCTGGACACGCGGGGGATTCTGTTTTCAATGACACCTTCGAATTAGTATGTTCAATCAGAGACAGGCCTGGGTCGTCAAAGATTCTTGCCGGTATCAATTGAGATTAATCGTTACACTGTTCGCGTCTACTAAATTTCGTCGAATGACGATGGTTTTAATCGAAGCTTGTAAAACAGACTTCTCGTTATGTAAATAACTCTGTCAAGTAGACGACGATTTACGATGCAACTTTTTGCCGGAATTAAACTATTTTATTTACCTATACGCATATGTCATGATAGTCTTGTATAGCTGAATTTTAGAAAAATGATCATCGATATTGATATTTTATGCAGTTATTGTGCATCTGTTGTGCATTATTTAATTTCTACTTGATTTACGGACAGCCAGTTGCTTACAGTTAACTCGAAGGAAAAAGCCAATAAATCAACAGCGCACTCTATGAAAAAAGGAATAAACTCGTCGTCGTAAATCTACGGATAAGTTGCCTTTAGGAGCTTATCTAGACTCTCCATCTCACTCATGATCGATTTGCATATTTTTCAATAAAATAAAGGACGCTCGCTGGGTGTTCCGTCGCGGTATCTTTGTCGAGATTAAATCTGTTTCACGCGGTGGAATCGATCAACCGCTCATTGACATGATCATTAACCAGGCTTCACGGGTGCGGTACAAAAGTTTCGTCCGAGTTCCTCCTTCGAGAACACTCCGCGTCCGCTAGAGAGAAGTTGAAGAATAGACGACAGGCAGATATATCCGTTCGCTTGTGTAACACGCTGCTCATAGACCGAAGAAGACTACCGAGTGGCAGGTTCAACGTAATCCGGATTAAAGAATTCCGAAACACCGAAAGCGTTTTAACGCTTCAGCCCCGTTACTCGAACGAGGACTTCTGAGTTTACCTGCAGCGATGTTATCGCTCTGTCACGCATTCACGATCTTGAATTATCGATTAATCAATGGTATTAACTTTGGAATCGCAGTGTAAATTTAAATGTAGATTCTTAACTATTACATCCTGAGATTTGCTTCGATCGATTGACCGATAGTTTCGACACGTTTTCGCAATAGGAAGTCACTTACAACTAAAAGCTTCGTTTCGAGAAATAAAGAATTTATTGGAAAACAAACTCGAATAATACATTATAGATAATAATACATCACAGTCCCACTGTGTGGTTACAAAATTCGCAATCAGGATTAGATAAATGCCAATGGCAAATTAAAGCAAAATACTATTTCGTTATGGTGACAATAGGGATCTATTGTTTCATACGATCGTCGAGTTGGACTCTATACTTTGTGTCGTTTAATCCTCCCTGATTTTTATACGTGCTAGCTCTTTGTGTTCCAAGTATATTTTTGACTATGAACCAATCGAGTTAAAGTGTTAAATGCAACTCGGATCGCAAAGGGTTGAAACAGAAAGTTCCTCGACGAGTCCTGTTGATTGTTTCTGCACCCTCGAGAAGAAACAGACGTCGTGGAAATGACCATAGTAGACGACCCACGAAGGAATATCTTTTTCCCATAAAATTGCGCGATCCGTGGATTTGCCAGACGTAGGGGAGAGGCAGGTAGAAGAAAGGTGGATGCGTCCAGCTCGACCGTGGAGGAAGAGAGAGGTGCGCCAAAGTTTGTAAACAGAGGCGGTGTGTACACGGTAGGCTGCATCCCCATTATTTTAGGCCGAAGAAATTCTTTCCTATCTGCTTATGGAATCAGCTGCCGGCGAAGTCCCTTCTTCTCTCGGCGCTTCCTCGACGTGCTCACCTGCCGAGCGGACTGGATCTAGAGAGTGGAGAAACTGTGAGAGCAGCAACAGGCTTCCCTTGGTGTACTTGGGAAAATCCTCTCCGCTAGCCGACAAACTGACCAACCGATTTTCAATTTACTCTCTCTGCATCTGCGTAGCTTCGTTTGCGGAGAAAAGCTTGCCTTCCTGCCTTTTCGACTGCGCTCACAGTAATCCCAAGTCTTCTCCGTTTAACGGATCCCTCCTCCAGAGATAATTACGTGGCCTCTTGATTCGTTGGTAATCTCACGAAAGCTTCAGATGGAAGTCACATTTTTCTAATGCGATTCATAGCGCCAAATAATCTTCGAATAGCGGTTAGTACCTGAAAAAGTATCATAGTTAACACAGTTCTCATGCTTTTATCTTAAAATACGGTTATCTAGCTTATTAAAAACGAAGATCTGTCGTACGACCGAATTACCTTTCGATACAATTGAATTTTCGATTTCAGTGTCAAACCGAGCTCTATAAACACGATCAGACGCCATGTCGGTTATGTAGGGATTCTTCTTATTCCTTGTTTTTCTAACGCGTCTAATAATATTGTCTCGCGTTTCTAACGCGACAGCGAGCGCAATCGGATCGCATCTCTGACCAGAATAGAAGCCGAAATCTCAGATCTCTTGGCTCGGCTTTTAGCCGGCTTTCCACTGACCATCTCTCGTGTGTTTCGCTCTTTCTACCCATCTCCGTCCTTCTCTAAGTTGAGACAAAGATGTACAGCCTATGGGTACGCGTGTCTCGCGCGAGACGCCACGCTGACGATCATTGGAGACACGGTATTACGTCTCACGCCCTCGAAATTCCTCTCCGTCTTATGGGCTCGTAATCGAGTGGATGGTGAAAAATTCCCGCTGACGATCACGTGAGGGAAGAAGAAACGACAACGATGGTCGCTCGCGTCGTTGGCTGAAAATCACGCACGATAAACTTCAAACGGGAAAAGAACGAGATGGACAATAGGTATCTACACGCGTGTTATATACTTTTTAGATCGTGAATCGTTCAATATACCTTTGTTAAAATTAATAACGTCATCAACGAGCCTGGTATATCCGTCAGTTTGTTGTAATTCATTTTATTGCACCACATTCGAGCATCGTCTTTCATCGTCGACGACAACGAGAAAAAGAGAGATTCCGGTTGGTGGCCGCTAGTGGCGGGTGGGTGGCACTGTCACGCGCGACATCTCGCGTGTAACTCGAAAACCACCAAGAGACATATTATAAACAAAAGGCATGGCGCGGAGCAGAACCGATGGACCGATCATATCTGTCAGTACCATTCGAACAACATCGTCGTCTTTACCGGTGTTCGTTTTATTCGCATGGAGACGGACAGAGAGCGGGGCGAACGGCTATTCGGTTGGATTAGCATAATTCGTAATTTAATTTCCCGATAAATTTCGTATGGCGTTATTCGCCAGCCGGCCGAAATGAGATGGTATCGGCTTGCGCGATTCCACTAATTCGCGTCTAAGTTTATATCGCTCGGGAGAGAGCAGCACGGGGTCGAGATAGCATCTCCCTTCTTTCTCGCCCTCTTTGTCACACCTTCTCGGTGGCTTTCTCTGTTCCCCCGGTTGAATCTTTTCCTCTCGTGGGCCGCCTCGTAAAATCGGATTATATCGGCTCTGTCGCCCCTGCGTTGTCGCACACTTTATTCGAGCCACCACACGATATCGCCCCCTCGCAAACGAGCGGGGTCAGGGTTCGTAGCGCGCAGTACACGGTAATCACGTTTTTCTTTAATAAATTCACCCGCGCGATCCTTCTCGTTAGACGCAGCGCGCATGCGCGCTGCGAACTGTTTGACGAATAGTAACGCGCGCTGTACAAGTTTAATTAACCTAACCTTTCTTTCTTTCTTCTTTTTCTTTCTTTATTAATTTATTTCATTATCGTTTCTTTTTATTTTCTTTTTTTTTTTATTCTTTTTCTTTCAGCTTGAACTACGTTACTGTGGACATCTTTCACGTTTCTGTTAACTGATTAATATTCATGGTTCAGCATTTTAACGTCGAAGGTGGTTGAATTACTAGGGAATCCTGCGGTTAGGAGGTGACCTTAAGAACACGTCAGGGACGTTGTTTCTCGTAAGATAGAATCTTTTCACGATCCCACCGTGAAACCGTTCTCGGCCATTTCTGTTTCTGGAAACCGAACGAATCGATCTCTCGACGCGAGCGGAGAAGGGGAAGCCCGGTACGGAATTTCGAAGTGAAGCTTATTTACGAACTGGCCGATTAATAAAACGAGCCGCGCCTTCGATCATTATCTCAGCGCCGTTTAAAACGGCGAGACCATGCTGATGCCATAAAATCGCGTGCCACGGTTTTTCGGGCCATTTCGATGCTGTGCACCATCGTGTCACATTTTTAAAATGAGAAAATGATTAAAAATAATAGCAATAAAAATTATCCACCGATCTTCGACATCCTGTTTCCTACCAAATCGACGGTCATCATCATCAGTGATGAAACGAAATTACCCTTGAGTTATTGCCCCGATATTGGAAAGTAATCGAATATATCCTTGGTTCTAATGAACTCTACAGGGTGATCCATAAATTCGAATTTAAGTTATGGCTTGGCGAATCCATAAATTTCTTCAGATTTTCAAATTTGTCTCGACATAGTATAATTCGTATATGGGATAACCTCCAAATTTACCAGAGAAAAAGTGCAAATGGCGAAAGAGAAGCTCGCTTGCAGACCCAATGGCGGAGGGGAGAGCGGTAGGTGTCGCTGCGAACGAGTCCGCCAAATAAATGTCCCGGGCACGCGATGAGTCACAAATCCTAATGAAAATAATAATGCCCGAAAGATTCCGTTCTCTGCCGTGGCAACGCGCGGCGTGCAACGCGGATAAATTTACTGCGCGATCTCGACTCGGATAAGGCATACCTGGGGACACCTCGTCTGGGGTTATAGACCCAGGCATGCAACGGGTGGCACGGAAAGTACCGGTGGAAACAAGCTGATCCCCTTGTCCCTGCCTGGTGGAACTACGTCGTTCCACGTGTGGGATCTGTTGCATCGCGTCTCGTGGAAATAATTCTTGTCCCCGGGGACGAGAACGGACTCCCCTGCAACCGGGACTGAACGGCCAACGAGATTTTCACCTGCCGAACGGATTTATCGTTGGCCTCGTCCAACAGGGGAACTAGTCGTGGGACACAGGAATCTTCTCTCCTCCTCTCTCCTTCCTTGGAATCTTCCTCCTTGCGGGAGTGTCGTCGATGTTTTTTCTCTAGATCCTTTCTCTGCATCCTTGCGATCCCGGTGAGACGATAATTTCGCCATACGTAACCTTTTCATCTTCCAATTTTCTCAGAGTCGCGCACAAACGCGACTACTCGAGCATCTCGGAGTATACGGGTAGCCTCGTCGGGTTCGATTAAAAGGTTACCGATATCACGATGGAAGGCTACACGAAAGCGTGTAAAACGGTGTTCGTTATCAGTTCGGTAGCCATGCGGGACCGAACGGACGCGGAGGACCGGTTCTCGAAAACACCCCGTAGACAAGTGTCGTGGCACTTGCGCCGGAGACAGTGCCGTATCGCGGCGGCCACGTCTAAACGACTTGTAAAACAAGCGCTTAACGATTGCTCGTACCTGGATATAGAGAGTGTGTAGCAGGACGGACGAAGAGGGAAGCAAAAGCGGAGAGAGAAAGCCGGCAGAGAAAGAAGTCGGAGTGCGAGGCACAAGACCCTTCCAGGTCCCACGTGCTTCGGCTTCGAGGAGGTCCAGCCTGCTAAATTGAGTTTACGAGATGCCGAGAGAGCGGGTTCACCGTCTCTCCACCTCTCTCTTTCTACCCCTCGCTTTATATTCCTATTCTTCCGTCGGGTTTACTCCTTCCTCCCTGTTCGTAGCGGGTCTTCCACCCTTAATTCACCGGTACCCAGTGAGAAGCAGTACCCTCTTCACGATAGTTTACGCATGGACGCCGGTATTATCTTAGCAGACGTTATTCCGTGCAGCCCTTATCCTCTTCCGCTTTTCGAGACACTGCCGATCACAGGCCGGCTGTTCCGTCTGTAATTATATTGGACTCGTTCCGACTCGTGCGAGTAGGGTTCCTCTCGCGGTGTTACCGAAGGAACCGCCCAATGGAATCGGCAGAGAACAGTGGAAGGATTCACCCAGGACTCTGAATATTAATTCGAATGTATGCAACTAATCTGTGTAACATATCACCGCTGGGTATGTGCGGTATTGTTTGCATTAACCGAGGGAAACTTGTTGCATAGATAACAAACGGAATCTATACGAGAGGTTCGAGGATTGTTATGCAAGCAGTTGCTGGTATTCGCTAATTTGATACGTTGAACCGATAGACGTGTATCAATGATGAGATTGGGAGAGTTCGGTGTAAGTCCTTCGTTGGATTAGTCACGGAAAATTGAGCTTTACTGGAAGATGAGCTTTATCTTTATGATACGTAGGCTTCAGAATTTTTAACCCTTTCAGTAATTTAATAATAACCATCCGATGGTTCATCGGGATAACGCTTAATGACTCCTGTAGAAGGAACAATCTTTATTTTTCCTTGATATTTCGTAATCATAACCTAACCCAGCTACCCTCTTATCTGTTCCAGTGGCCAACGGGAGGATAAGACCCACGGTGGAGGCTTGGGTGACTCCAGTAGCGAAAGTGGCGACGAGGCGAAGAGGCAAGCGATTAGCCAGCAACAGCAACAACAGCCACCCTCTTGCGCCGTTCAGCAACAGCAGCAGCAGCAACAGATGGTCGAACATCAGCAGTCGTCGAACATGTACCAGCTTCCGCCTCCGGTCTCGGTGTCCAGTCCTCACTCGTATCATCAAGGCCATGGCTCGACCTTGAGCCATCCTCATACGCCGACGCACCATATGCAGCACCACGATACCGGAAGTGAGAGCGGCGACGATAAACGGAATCTTCATCATCAGCTGCAACATCATCTCCAGGTCGGTGCTCACGGTACTCACGGCTTGGTACATCCCACGGCGACCTTGCCACCGCCACCACCCAGCTGTGCCCAGCAGAAGAGCCAGTTGGACTATATGCAGTACTATAGTCCACAGGTACAGTGAACCGTTTTGTGTGGTCTTGTTTCCTTTTTCTTTTTCTTTTCGGCAGAAGAAAAGAGAGCTGTGTTCTAAGGGTGCAAGAGGACTCTGTTTGAGTGGATGAAGTTTTGCAAATAACGAGTTATTTTGGATCTTTCGTTAAGTTGAGGAGCACATAGTGATCGGTGTTATGTACACGCTATATGGCGAGCTGAGAATTATAATAATGCAAATTAATACTATGAGACTTTTACATCTTGCTTGTACAACCCCTAAAAGACTCATACGTTCATCTTCGTGATTAATTTCACTTGTAATGCTATTCCTGTCACATCTAATAGCTCGTCATATAGCTGTTACTTCAGGTAAGGTGGAAATTTGCTTTTGAAGCTTGTACAAAATTTTGTCAATAGATTACCGTAACCGACTAAACGTCATGGTTTGAGAGAATGATTAACGAGCCACATTCACTCCGCATCGCTAATTCCTTTAAACGTTCTTAACAAAAATTAATACAGATAGTCTGTTCAGTGGTTGACAATCCGTCTTAGACGATAGGTTTCGAGGTAATACTGGTTCTATATAGTTCATCGAAATTCAGTCGATCGTTTAAATGTTTCCCAACCGGGGATGAGATTGTTCGCTGAATTGTTTAACGAAAAACTCGTAAAGCTTTTTTGATCGGTGAAACACGTGGACCATTCTCTGTTCCAGGATTACCTGATCACACCGACCTCTGCGGATCTCCAGAAGTCACTCCCGCACACGGCCACGTCGATGCAGATGGGTGCTATAGCTCCTTCCATGGGTGGGCTGAGCCCAATGGGTCCATCGACGATGTTGCCGAACACGATGCAAAGCGTGAACACGATGAACACTATGTCGATGAACGGCATGGGAATGGGGGCGTACCAGGGCATGGGTTCCATGGGGATGTCGACGTCGCACGGTAGTTATCACAGCGGGCTGGTGTTGGGTGACTATCACTCGTTGTGACCCTGGGCCCCGAGCAGTCAGGGCAAGAGGAATCAAGAGAAAACTTAAAGGAAAAACAGAGAGAGAAATATATGGAAAGGAAGAATCTAGTTTTTCGATTCGTAAAGGATCTGGCCACGAAATTTTATCTGTGAGAAGAGAACCGTATTATTTTCGAGATACCATGGGCCAATTCGTCCGCTCGTACTCGGCGAGGAGTCTGTCTGAGTTAGGTAATTAGCGAGAACGTTTTCTTGCCTTTGTGATCGTCGATATCGTAGGAAAATGTTCTCGATCGCGAGACTAAGCGTCGACTCGAATCGACGGATTTCTGTAGTCGAGGATTATAATAGTAGGTACATTGCCAGGGAACATCGTTGCGATTCTCCGTGACGTCGATCGGAGATTGGAAGTCGTTGATCGTGCACTACGGAAGCACCTCGATGCGCCGATCGAGATCTCCCTGAATCTTCCGCTGGAAGGTTCTAGGCTCGTTTACGGCACGTCGGAGTTCGGATAAACATTTGCAAAATACCTTTGACCGAAGCGTCCGCACACGCGTCATGCCTCGACTTTTTAATCGCGGCACACGCCCGAGATGATAACGATTTTTCGACAAACGGGATAAAAAGAAAGGTTCACCTGCGGTATTGCACATATTACATGCCCATACACACGAATACATACACGAATACGAACAACCACGTACATTTCTCTCGCAGTTTTTGGGAGAGGGCTATATATTATATATAATGCATACGATTATACGAATAGTAGCCGTGAGAAAACGGGGAAAATCGAGGCAGCGGGGGAACGCTTCCGGGTGAAAATAGCAAAAGACATACTAGCATTTTTTTTCTTTTTCCCATAACGCCTTGCAAGACCGAGCTCTTGTTGCATATTTCCAGAAACACATGCCTGAAACACGTCGTGTCTACTTTTACTTATTTTCTTTTCTTTCCCCATTTTCGCCAATCCAACAATCATCACCACTAGCCCCCATTATCCCATTCTAATCTCGTAGCGTACCGCCCGTACCTATGTCCTGAGAAGTAAGAGAACACACGCATACGTTATTTACGGTTACCAGTAGTCGGTTCAGACTGTACAAGCTTCAGCGTGTTGCCAGAATTCTCCTGGACCTTGACGTATGCCGTGTCATAATCTTCTTTCGAAGTCTTTCGAAATTGAAAAACGGCGGGGCTCTATGTCTGCTGGCCCAAATATTCCACTCGTTGCATCGAAAAAGAAAAAGTAAAAAGATTAGTAAAATTCAGAGAAACTATTCGTCAGCATAGACTTCGTAGTTGATCGGAAACAATTAACCGTTTTGAAAGAAATGTCTAAAATACGGTTTTAAGTCAGATGACTCATAGAATGTAATTCCTAGACGCAAAGGTGGTATTTATTTTTAAATATCGGTGAAATACCTGTTATTCTTTTCTCTGTTAAATGAAAAGGGGACAAAGAGAGAAGGCAACATGGCCGACGTCGATGGTCCATGAGCTTCTCCTTCTCTTTGGTAGGAACGATGTTTCAAAGAGGCAACACCGCGGAGCAGACAAATTCTCCGGAATAATTTCTGAGGCGTGTACGGATCTTAGCCACCCGCTAATTAATTAACGTCGCTATAACGAACCACACACGCTCTTCACACCACCGATCCTCTCACACCGTACGCTTCTGTGTTTGTCCTGTGTACATATGTAGATAATACACACACAACCTCACACACGTACTCGCATATATACATACATACACGCATACGTGTACACACACACACAGTTACACACGCATTCGAGAGAAGATTAAGTTAATCTCGTCTATACTAGGCGAGTACCGGGTGTTTGCGAATCAGGCTCGAGTCACGATTCAATTTCACTCTCTGATACGCGATTATTCGAAAAGAGCCTGTCTTTATTTATGGCTCGCCATCGTCTCGTTTGTATCAATTCGCGATCTTGCTGCTCGTGCAAGGCTGTTGGAGACTTCGTACACGATCATCCTCTTTCGCGTGAAGAAAGGAGGAAGAGGGAGAGTAAGCGTGGTCGGTTTTACCAGTCCGGAGATATCTCTTCATTAGAGCCGGTGAAAAATGATTATTTTAATTGCTTCACGCGTGTCAGGCTGGTTATAGGTAGGCTAGAAGCGCGTGTAGATCCGAACGGTATGCAAATTAGCGTGACCAAGGCAGCGCGAGCGGTAGGCGGAGCAGCTGCTTCCTGCCAGCCAATTGCCGAGTGCCAATCTTTTCATCGCAAATAGAATCAGCAACACCTTTTCAGAACACGCTGCCTGTGTGTCTCCTTTATACGCGCTATACCGTCTTATGAATCGCACCGTTGACAGATATCAGTGGCAGTTCCCTTGACAGTCAGCCCGACATGTATCGATTAGGCTCGCTGCTCGCTCGAATAGGCTAAATATCGATGTTTCCAAACAGTCACTTGCGCCGACTGAAACCTCGATTATTTTCTGTAATTGTTACCCCCTTTTATTTATACGTCGCTGGATACCATCGTTACCATTATCTCCATCGAATATTTATTTTACGCCGAATGGGCCTTACAAAATGTCAATTGATGGGTTCAGAGAGCAGATGATACGGACGACAAAATTTCCCATTCGAGAAAATCCGGATTTATCAAGAACGCACCGTATACACGTTGCTTTTGAGGTTAGATTTCGAGACGTGTATCGGGGTATATCGTTGCAAATAGACTCATTTACAGAGCAAAAAATTCGTAACAAAGAATAGATAGCAATTGTTTCTATAATTTCTTGCATTTATTTCGCTTTAAAAAGAAAAAGAAAGAAAAGGAAAGATATGCTCGTATCAACTTCGAACTGAGCCCGCCAACGAAAGCGCGCCATCTACAACCACGGATTACTCTCCTGGCGTACATAACCTCGCTTAGAACTCTCGGACAGCCGCTGCATCCGCGAACGCAGCCGAGGAAACAGAAGAGAGTGCGAGTCTCTACGTTTCGTTTCTTCCGCGGGACACCCGGTATAAGATAAACACTGTCGTAGCGTAAGTTAGACCGTAACTTATCATTTATCCGCAGTTCGCAGTCTGTACATAGAAGAGAGGAGCGAAAACTAACAGTGCGAGAAAAGAGTGAGAAGACGAGAAAGAGAGAGTGAGAGGAGAGAGAGAGAAAGAAAGAGAGAGAGAGAGAGAGAGAGATAGGGAAGATACGACGAAGCATGAACGACGAAGAATGACTGAGGGAACGAATGAAAGTGGCAGAGGGTGAAATCCAAGCGAGAATGTGGAAGAGAGAGAACGAGGTATCATAGAGGTGACAAACTTGCACACCACGGGGGAGCAAAAAGTAAGTTTCATCGGTTCCGTGTATTTAAGATGGCGTCTCGCGCGCGCAGATGTCCAGAACGTATCACGTTGCCCGCCACATTGTCTTGTAAGATCCTTATCCAGGATGCCGAGCAGGGAAAGGATTTCCCTTTTGGAAAGAGTCCTCGGGACGAAACAGGGTAAGCGAGAGGGAAGGGGAAAGAACGAGATGAAAGCTCCGCGTCTTTTCTCGTCTCCGACAATTAGCGGTATTCGAATATTCGCGCCAACCGATACGCGGGAACATCGCGACCGGCAGAGGGCTCTAGTTGTCCTTCGCGCGAAATTTTTCCTTTTTATTTTATCCTATTTTACTTCTCTACCATTTTTCTTTTTAAACCGAATTAATTGCACGGGTGCTCTACACACGTCGATGAAATTGTCCCAGTATTTCCTATCTTCCATTCGCTATTCAATTTTCTCGAATATCGAAGCGAAGATAGGAGTTCAATATTTTTAAATAGTTCGTACGAAGTCGTATAAATTTTTGGTTTCGACGAATTGAAACGAGTTTTTAGCGTGATTCTAATATTCCCGACTACGCGTTATAGTTCGCGTTTTTACCATTTTTCGCGTGATTTTAATATTCCCGACTACGCGTTATAGTTCGCGTTTTTACCATTTTTCGCGTGATTTTAATATTCCCGACTACGCGTTATAGTTCGCGTTTTTACCATTTTTCGCGTGATTTTAATATTCCCGACTACGCGTTATAGTTCGCGTTTTTACCATTTTTCGCGTTATTTTAGTATTCCCGACTACGCGTTATAGTTCGCGTTTTTACCATTTTTCGCGTGTCTATACCGATCATGTCTTTTGTCTTATTCTTTTGACTTCGTCTGTTTTTCTTTTTTTTATTTTTAATCGGTATTTAATGGAAGCGTCGTTCTATATTCTGTTTGCAGTATCGCAGTCTCGTTTGTGCACGAGGTGAGAAGAAAATCGACAAGGAGCCCGGTACAGTCTGTCGTTCTGTTCCCGTGTTATATCGACGTCCGTTCTCTTCCGAGATTTTCTATAGTCCGACGACGTGCCAAACCATTTCGATTCACGCACAATCTACGCTTTGTACACAGTATACACGCGCGTACTCTTCGTCGTCGGGGTTGCACGCTGCTCGCAATACATTCCGAAAATGCACACAAGCGCGGATTCAGGCAAAAGATTTCTATTATTTTTTTTCTTCGATTTCCCCCATTTTTCTTTTCTTTTTTTTTCTTTCGGGAAACCATTTCCGTTCGGGAGAAAACGTTTGTTCGACGAACGCTAAGAGCGAATAAACGGACAGCTTTTATACCGATTAATCAGGGCTTTCATTATGAATCTCGATCAAATTTCCAATCGATCTACGTATACGTATATATTTCTTTTATTTTCGATCGAGTTCGTTTTAAATATTATAATATTTACTTTTATCATTGAGAGACGCCCTTTGATTTTTCGTCATCACAGGATCGTGTGCTTTTTATTTAATTACTTTTTTAATATTCGCTTAATTTATTTTCCGTTTGTTTATTTCTTTTCTTTTTTGTTTAGATTAAATGTACTCCGATGTATGATCGTTTGCAACGAACGCTACCGAAGATCCGGGACGCGCGATCGTTGATTTATCAGCTGCGTTTCGACGTTCAGGCGGAGTTGGCTCTTTTAACTTTTAGAGCTGCTTTGTCGCTTTACCGGGCCAAGGCTGCCGATAAATCTCCCGCGGGTATATAATTAGACAAGAATCGCTTGTCGCACGGATCATCTGCTCCCAGAACGATCGCCGTTAACCCTAGGACACAAACGTTCCGCCATATTCCTTAATCCGTTTGCATCACTCGTGTACACATACGCGTAATTTTCTTAGTAGTTGTCACTACGAGTTATACATACGTAAATTCGCATTGCGAATGAATAGACATAAACAAATCAATTTTTCCTTCTTATCTTCTTTTACTGCAGATGCCGAATTTTTGTGCCGAATTATTATATTCTTGATACTTTTATTAAGAAATATTCCTAAATCTGATCGAGTAACAAGAATTTTGCTATGGTAGCATATTTTTCGTCTATTCGTGCGATACAAATGGATGAAACACAGGTTAAAGTACTCGAGACATGATTTAGAGCTTTGATAGTGCACGTTTATGCTCGGTTAGTGTCGTTTGGTTATTTATACGATTTTAGGAGAATTTGTTCAATATTTCCAAAATATAAACCTTCGTAAGATTTTATTTAGGAGTTTATCTAGAGTTTATTTAGATCATTATTTCTGGGCTCTTGTGATGTACATTTATCTTTGGCCAGTATTATTTGGTCATAGATCAGTGATACCTTTAGATTTGCAAACATAATTTTAGAAAAATTCCTCTAATATGTCTGAGTCCCTAAAATTTTATCAACGCCGTTACTTAAATTTTTATAACATTTTATCCTTCGTTTTCTTCGTTTCCGTGTCGCGAGGAGGTTTGTGTTCCAGGGTTAACGAATTTGAAATTTTAGTTTCCAAAAATCGTTTTGTCCTTTTAATATACACAACGATCTTACACAATTCCGAAGATCAGCTTAAAGAAGAAACAGTTCGTAAATGAAGAACAACAAATGAAAATCAAGTATGCGTTCGAGCTTACAAATCCAATGTTACTAACAACAAAATCGTAGAATTCCAAAGAGAAAAATGTTCAAAGAGAAATTGGAAAATCGGTGTTATCTGAATTTTAGGAAAATTGCGAAGTTTCTCCCGAAGAACTGGTAGTTTCTTACCGATCTTAGCACAAATACTCTACAGCCGTGATTCACAAAGGGAAGCTGTACAGCAATCATGAACAAGGGACAGATAGACACACGCGTAGAGACGTATTGTACCGTTTTTCGCTGCAGAAAATGCTTTATGATGCAAGGACGATTATTAATAACCGACAGTTCTTCCCAACAGTTCTCATTCGTGTATTTTAGCGGACAAGCCTAACGTTGCACAACTAACTAAGACAAATTGCTAAGAGAGAATGGGAGAGTGAATGAGCGAGAGAGAAACAGAAGAGGAACGGATAAGGAACGAGAGAAAGAGAGAGAGAATGGTCTGCGTATGTTTTAGGTGTACGTGTGAATGAGGATGAAAACGGAAGAAGAAAGGGATGAGGCACGAATAGACAGTAAGAAGAGATCACACGATGTACGATCGAACTGTAATCGAAGTAAAAGTTGATGTTATTTAAAGTAATAAAAGGAAAATATTATATATATATAATGTATATATATATATATACATACAACACATGGGTAACGATAAATCCTTTACACGATGTATTATCCTGTAAACTTTTGCGCTAATTAAACGTTAAATTAAATTTGTTACCGAGCAATGATTTATTTTTCAGGACAGTGAATGCGAATTTTATTTGAAAGAAACTCGAAAGGAGCACAGGAG